GCATAATAGTCATACATGTAAAATAAAAATAAATTAAAAAAAATTTTAGCCGGGCATGGTGGCACACGCCTTTAATCCCAGCACTCTGGAGGCAGAGGCAGGCAGATCTCTGTGAGTTCAAGGCCAGCCTGGTCTACATAGTAAGTTCCAGGACAGTTGGGGCTACAGGGAGACCCTGTCTCAAAAAGACAAAAAAAAAAAAAAATTTAAGTAAAATGTTAACAACAAAAGTTAAGTTCTTTCTTTTTTGGGAAGACAGGGTTTCACTATGTAGCGTTGACTGGTCTTGAACTCAGAGATCCTGCCTCTTCCTCCGGAATGGGGGGATTAAAGGTGTGTGCCATCACACCCAGCACTTCTTGCATTTTTTCACTTCTTGGATGGTAAAAAAAAGATCCCAGCTTCTTTGACCCACCATTTCAAATTATTACATATTTTTAGTAATTTTTTAAACATTTATTTATTTTGTGTGTGGTGGGGCATGCATGCCATGGCATGTGGGTTTTAGGGTTCAAATTCAGATTATCAGATTTGGCAGCAGGCACCTTTACCCACTAAGCCATCTTGGTGTTAGCCTAAATTATTATGTTTTCTTCTATTTTTTTTAACTTATAGTCCTTCATTCATCTAGAAGTTATAACTTTAAATATTTTTTAATGGAATATCAAATATACTCTATTACCATTTCAGTAATTGTTTAAGGCATATACAAATACTAGGCCATTTTACTAGAAGGACTAAGCATCAAAGGAGTTTGGCATCTGTATAAGATCCTGCAACTAAGCTCCCAAAATACCAAGGGACAACTGTATAACCTCTTGCCTCAGAATCACCAGAGAAAGTCAGACATGGTGGTGCAAGCCGGAAGCTCACAAGTTTGAGGCCATCTAGGGCTACTTAACAACAGACCTTGTCTCGAAAGACAAATATAGAAGGATGGATGGATGGATAGACAGACAAACCAAAACACCTACAAAGATGTCTTGGGCAGTTACCGTGTGGGAGACAGTGTGGTTATGGTAAGAATGGTGTTAGAATGGTAAAACTGCTAGGGTTTGAGTTAGTCCTAGAATTTTTAAGTTCTAGTTCTAGTACTTACAAGATAATGTGACATGAAATGAATTTCCTGAACCACGCTCTCCTCATCTATAAAATAAATTAGCATCTACCTCTTCTGCACAGAGGCAATGAATTACAGGTTATTATTATCAAGCTTACTTCCCATCTTACAATCTAGCTGACTAGATTTGAGGTATTATGTTTAATATAATGTTTACAATTTACCTTAAAATACTTCAGCAGGGATAATGTGAGATCACTTAAAGTGAGGAATCACATATAGCGGTACTTATCTAGTAGATATTAAAAATGAAGGCAGGACCAGGGAGAGGGCTCACTGGGTAAAGGTGCTGACACCAAGCCCAATGACCTGTGTTCTATCCATAGGTCCCACCTGATGGGAGAACCAACTCTTACAAGTTGTCCTTCTAACCTCTACATTCATCTACATTCATACTAAATAAATGTAGTCAAGAAAAAAATCTTCGCCAGGTGTCATGGCGCATGCCTTTAATCCCAGCTCTCAGGAGGCAGAGGCAGGCAGATCTCTGTGAGTTCAAAGCCAGCCTGGTCTACATAGTAAGTTCCAGGACAGCTAGGGCTACAGGGAGACCCTGTCTCAAAAAGACAAAAAAAAGAAATGAAAAATCTTGCAGGACGCTGGGCATGGGGGCATGTGCCTCTTTAATTCCAGCCCTCAGAAGGCAGAGGCAGAGGCAGGTGGATCTCTATGAGATCAAGGCTACAAGGTTCATTCTGACTTCCAGGTGGGCTGTGACTAGGGAAACCCTGTCCAAAAAAAAAAAAAATCTTGCTGGGTGTGGTGGTGCAGGCCTTTAACCCCAACACTCGGGAGGCAGAGGCAGGCAGATCTCTGTGAGATCAAAAGCTAGTCTGATCTACATAAGAGTTTCAGATCGCTGGGCCTGATGGCGCAAGCCTTTAATCCCAGGACTTGGGAGGCAGAGGCAGGCGATCTCTGTGAGTTCAAGGCCAGCCTGGTCTACATAGTGACTCCAGGACAGCTGGGGCTACAGAGAGACCCTGTCTCAAAAAGACCAAAAAAAATAAATAAAAATTAAAAAAAAAAAAAAGTTTCAGATCAGCTGTGGCTACAAGGAGACCCTGTCTCAAACCAAAAAAAAAAAATTTTTTTGTTTTTTTAGATGAAAGCGTAGAGAAAAAACAATCACCATTTTGATCTTTTACTGGTTTTTGGTTTGGGGTTGTTTTGTACTTTTTCCTTTTTTAAAAAATATTTTTATTTTATGTATATGAGTGTATTGCCTGCATGTATATAAGTGTAGCCGTGTCATGCAATGTCTGCAGGAGGTGTCAGCAGAGGGCACTGGATTTCCCTGGAACTGGAATTATGGACAGCTGTTAGCCACCACGTGAGAGCTGGGAATTGAACTTGGGTCCTCTGCAAGAGCAGCCAGTGCTCTCAATTGCTGAGCCATCTTTCCAGTCCCCAATTTTTTTTTTTTTTTTAGCTTCTCTTCTGAATTACTTCCTCCAGAATTTGCTCCTATAAAATAAAAATAAAACTCATCTCTCCACATTTTTCTATGTGAAAGTAGCCTGTAAATCGAAAATGGTGACACAAAGGTACTTTTAGTAAATGTTTATTGAGGAGGATGGTTCTCATTATGTTGCCCAGGCTAACTTAGAACTTGCTACCTTGCCCTAGAATGGCCTTGAACTTTTGCTTCGGCCTCCTGAATAGCTGGGAATTACTGCATTTGGCTAACTTCCATTCATTTTTTTTTTTTTTTCTTTTTGGTCTTTGTGAGACGGGGTCTCCCTGTAGCCCCAGCTGTCCTGGAACTCACTATGTAGACCAGGCTGGCCTTGAACTCCTTCAGAGATCCGCCTGCCTCTGCCTCCCAAGTGCTGGGAGTACAGGCATGCACCACCACGCCCAGCTTTTTTTTTTTTTTTTTGTTTTTTTTTTTTTTTTTTTTAAGTCAGGGTCTCCAGGAAGCCCCACCTGGCCTGGAACTCACTATTGTAGACCAGGCTGGCCTTGAACTCACAGACATCTGCCTCCCTCTGCCTCCTGGGTGCTGGGATTAAAGGTGTGCACCACCACACCTGGCCTTCCATTCCTTTTTGGTTTTGTTTTTAATATTTTTATTTATTTATTTATTTATTTGTGAATATACTGCACCCATGCCTGCAAAGGTCAGAAGAGGGTGTTGGAGCCCCTGGAACTGGAGATACAGAGAGCTGTTAGCCACCATGTGGGTGCTAGGAACCAAACCTGGGTCCTCTACAAAAATAGCCAATGCTCTTAACTGCTGAGCCATCTTTCCAGTCTCTAACTAACTTCCATTCTTAAATGATAAACCTATTCCTCGCATAAATATATACACATATATGTGTGTGTATATATATATATAAAATCTTTAACCCCCCACTACATTTAGGTCTTCTTGAAATTCTATAGAATTATCACTACTTTATTCACCTGTGTTTCAACATTCTCTAATCTACTGTCCAAAGCCTAACTTTTCTTTCTGTATTTTTTCTATACCCACTCCCGGTTAATAAGTTCAAAACTAGCAGATTCCCTTCTTCATCCAATTTCCAAACTTCAACTATGTATTTTCTCTAATACACTGAAATTTAGAAGACTTGTGTCTGTAAAACAAGTTCACTCTTCTGAGCTGAAATTTCATTTTCTCTATAAAATCTTCACAAAAGCATCAGTAATCAAAACGTAAAGATCAAATCTTATATAGCTTATAATCTAGCTTTAGATACCTATATTATAAATTTCTATTAATTTCTATTTTCTTTTGTCTAATAAAATCTATTTATTTGGAGCAATAATCTTACAATATAAAACATTTGCAAGTTCCTTAGACTTTTTTGTCTTTATTCAAAGATATCAAATTTTCTTATTTAGCAAAAATCCTATATAAATTGCAAAGCATTGCCAGGCATGGTGCCACACACCTTTAATCCCAGCACTTGGGAGGCAGAGGCAGGCAGATCTTTTTGAGTTCTAGGCCAGCCTCCTCTACATAGTGAGTTCCAGGACAGCTGGCGCTACAGGGAGACCCTGTCTCAAAAAGAAAAAAAAACAAAACAACAACAACAAAAAAAAAAACAAAGGATTTATAGTTTTCTTATTTCCACAGTTGCTTAAATGTATTCACACACATCAATATTGTGTTTAAATTGTAAATAAAAACAGAAATAGGAAATGCTGTTTAATACAATAAAACATCACTAATTCTACTCAATTAATTTAGAGAATTGCCAATTCAACTCAAGTTTTAAAAACTAAAGAAATCGAAAGGCATAGTGACACACACCTTTAATCCCAGGACTCATGAGGCAGAGGCAGGTAGATCTCTATGAGTTCAAAGCCAGCCTGGTCTCTATAGGAGTTCTAGGACAGCTGGGGCTATAGGGAGACCCTGTCTCAAAAAGACCAAAAAACAAAAAATAAAAATAAAAACTAAGTAAACCAGCTATGAACACAGTTATAATGCTTAAAACATTCAAGCCTTCTTTCTTTAGATTACCTCACTTGGTTTTCAAATTCTAAGAAAATGTCCCCTGTGCCACTAACAGCAAAACTTGCTCACCGTCATAAAATGACAACACAATGTCAAAGCCCAAATCTAGCACTGAGTCAGTCCAACTGTTCTTGAACAGCTGACTTTTAAAGACTAGCAGAGTTCTTAAGTAGCATTTGCTTTCATCACTGTCAGAATTAGTTTCACTTTAAAGCCCTTAGTAGAAACTAAACATATGCCATTCCCCCTTTCCCCACTAGAACATATCTTTTAAAATATTTCCAGTCAGATGCCATTCTTAAATATAGCACAAAGGTTTCTGTCAGAAGCATCAAAGCATTTATCACTAGCGACAAGCATTTCCTTGTAAGTAAGGAACTATCAAGTATTCCCTTAGGATTCTTCACTTACCGAGACAATGTTGTTTTCCCAGAACCAGGCAGGCCTCGCAAAAGAATAAGTAACTTCTGCAATTTGTTTAACTTTTCCTCTTGAAACCAGTGGTTCTCAAACCTGTCTGTCTCATTATGCGTATCCACAGGATCTTTCCAGCACCCTTCTCTGATTTCACAGAAACCGTAGTCGTCTTGTACACTGTAGCCATTTCCAAAGGGATGAACACTGCTAGTCACACTATAGTTAGTATATTCATCATTCTGATCAAAAGTCAAACAGTTCCAGTTATCCTGACAACTATTTACATAACATCCACTTCGCATCTGAGCATCATCTTGGGCATGGAAAATATTTGGTGGTGGATTTGGTGGAGCACTGAATCTTTGAATATTAAAATGATAGTTAAAACTGGGAAGAGGAGGACCATGGGGTATGATAAAAGGATGCACTGACTGCCACTCAGGCCTGAAGGAAGTAAATGAAGTATCACAGAATGTAGGCATTTGTTCTTGACAGGGATATTTGCCTGGTTCATTCTCCAAGTACTGTGAATAGCCACAATGTGACTGAAGAGCAATACTGAGATCTTTATTTTCTCCATCAGCTTTTAAAATACTATTATGCCCCTGGTCATAAGGAATCATTTGTTCCTGAGAAGGTTCGGGTTCCTTAGAACTGCTTTGTGAAGCATCTTTTTCATTTTCTAGTTCTTCAATTTCTTTGTAAAACTGGGATAATTCAGTGTCAATCTCCAATTTTTGGTCCTTAAATTTCTGATTTTCCTCTTGTCTTCCTTTGCCATTTATACGGTTTAGAGTCTCTGTCTTGTTCCTCCTTTCACTGCATTTCTTTTTTGCAGGGGGTTTGTAAATGGGTCCTATGAATGCTTTGCTTGTGCTATATATCTCATCATCTTTGGACAGGGATGAAGTGTTTCTATACCGTAAAGCTTGTGAACCAATGGATTCAGTAACATCTAGTTTTTTGCCAGGCATCTCACTGTGCAAAGGTTTCAGTGAATCTGTAGTTCTGATTTTGTCCTCCTGAGGACAACTATGGCCCCCAACATCAATGGGGGCCACGGGGACCCTATTATTTCCAGTTTTCTCTTGGATTCTGTGAATAACAGGACCACCATTATGGGGGAAAACATAACCATCTGCAGTTGACTTCAATTTTTTATAGCTTGGTTCACTTGTAAGTTCTTCTCCAGGCCCCAAAAACTTAGCTTCAATTTCAGTGTAAGGCATCTAGAAGTATATAAACATAAAATTATTAGGTAATGTTTTTAAAAGTTTTTTCAGGGCTAGAGAGATAGCTCAGCAGTTAAGAGCACTGACTGCTCTTGCAGAGGACCCAGGTTCGTTTCCAAGAGCCCACATGCGGCTATGAACCATCTTTAACTCCAGTTCCAGGGGAATCCAAAGCCCTCTTCTGACCTCCACAGCATTACATGACACAGGTACACCCACATACATGTAGGCAATACACTCATACACATAAAATAAAAAATAATAATATATTTTTTAAAAAAGTTTTTTCACAGGGGCTGGAGAGATGGCTCAGCGTTAAGAACACTGGTTGTTCTTGCAGAGGACCCCGGTTCAATCCCAGCACCC